ATTAATCAGCAATAAAAGAGAATAAAATCATGGCATTTGCAGGTAAATGGATGGAGTTAGAGAAGATAATGCTAAGTGAAGTTAGCCAATCCCAAAAAAACAAATGCTGAATGTTTTCTCTAATATAAGGAGGCTGATTCATAGTGGGGTTGGGAGGGGGAGCATGGGAGGAATAGATGAACTCTAGATAAGGCAGAGGGGTGGGAGGGGAAGGGAGGGGGCAGGGGGGTAAAAATGATGGTGGAATGAGATGGACATCACTACCCTAAGTACATGTATGAAGACAGAAACGGTGTGGATATACTCTGTGTACAACCAGAGATATGAAAAATTGAGCTCTATACATGCAATATGAATCGTAATGCATTCTGCTGTCATGGATAACAAATTAGAATAAAAAATAAGTAAATTAATTATTTTTTTTTAAAAAAAGAGAGATGTCAAGAATTTCTGCAAACTGGATAGAACAGCCTCCCAGGGAGGAAGCGTGAACAGCCAGCCTTGGGATTCGTTTTCCCACCCAAGAGCCCTGCCCGTGTAAGACTATCAGTGCAAACATCAGACACGGCGGGTCCTTGGGCCCGATGGGCCTCCAGCACCAACCACGAGGCCCAGCAAACTTCACTGAGGACAGTGCCAAAGGCGGAAGACGGAGCCTGGGAATGAGCAAAGCTCTCAGTCTCACAACCAAGTGTGTGAATTGAACACCCTCAGGCACGAGGCCTCACTTCAAAGTGCTCCCCTGACCTCCTGCTGGCCACCGCACAGCTGGGAACAGCCTTCTCTGACCACCGCATGCTGAGTCACTTTCCCAGCACCGCAGGGTAGACTGTGGGATGGAACCCGCTGAGGTCAGTCCTTCCACTGGCTGGGGAATAGGGCGGTGGAGCATTCCTGGAAGCCTTGGAACAGAATGGAACGCTGGGTTCTCACAGGGAGCCACATCAAACTCCTGGACTTAAGACCCAAGCCCAGAGCCCACGGATAATGCCCTGGATGTTTCCAGCAAGAGGCCACAGAGCAGAATCAGGAGCAAACCAGAGCCTGCCCTGGGGTCACTGGGCAGCACTGAGTGACTCAGGTGCCCCTAGAGGCTGTGACGTCCTGCCATCCCCATGGACAGTGGAGTCTCCATGTGATGACACAGGAGCTGCCCAGCCAGTGTTGCTGGGGGTGCCCATGGGGCTGAGCAGTCCCCCATGGTGGCCACCTCTGACCTTGGGGCTCTATGTGTGGAGTCAGCCAGGCTCAGCTCGTCCACCCGAGCAGCTGGGGCGCAGGTGGGGCTCACCTGCCTGGAAGGTGGCTTGCTGCAAAGCACCTGGTTTTCCTGCAGGAGACATGTGTCACACAACCTCCCCGGAACTTCCCCCCTCACAGAGGCAGCAAGGGCCTGCAGAAGCACAGGTCCCTGGGGCAGCCCCAGGCCGGAGAAGCACCACAGTGGGTGAGTCTCACTGCATGGCCCATGTGGACCAGAGGGACCCAGAGACTCCTGCTTTGACCTCATCCCCTGGTGGCTGGCTTGCTGCGCTCAAGCATTGCAAAATATCCTGCTGGGGGGGGGGGGGGAGGATGGCGCCACCCAGTTCTTCTGGACAGCACAGCCGGGTTCTGGACAGCAGAGCAGGGTCCTGCGGGACACCTCCTCCTCGGCACAGGATGCAGAGAACTCCTCACCACGCCTCTGCTCATTCCTCCTGGGAACTGCAGGCAGCCGGAGGAACAGCTGGTCAGCTGAGGCTGTCTGGGCACCTGTCCTCCTTCACCTACTGCCTGCAGCTGTGCTGTGCCCCCTGCTCTGTGCCACCCAGGGCATCTCTGCCACCCCACAGGCTGCTCCGTCTCAGCAGCAGCAAGGAGCTCCTCAGCAGCCACCACACAGAGCAGCAAAAGCAAGAGGCACTTGTGACCCAGCATCCCAAGTCACTCCCTAGGACCCCAGCAGCGTCCTTGGGGTTGGCCTGTCACTGAGCTCAAGGACTGGGCCAGGGGAATGAAATGAGCCGAGAAGCCCAAGCCAAGACAGGCCCACTCTGGAGCTGCCCAGGGCAGCTTCCCAGGCTCGTGGGCTGCGTCTGTCAGGAAGAACCTGGGACAGAACTGGGATCTGTTAGGACGAAGCAGGGGATGGGGGTGGACAGCTGGACAGGAGGAACCAGGACCAACTGACCCACAGTGACCCGGGCTGCGATGTTTTTCTGGGGGGCCACCGCCTGGTGAGACACATCACACATGAAGTCTGGGCACTAGCCAAATGCCCCCAAAGAAGCAGGTCCAAGAGAAGGAAGCCCTCTCGTGACAAGGACAGAGCCATGGTTAGGTGCTCAGTAAATACTGATCAACGCTCACTCACTGCCAGAGGGCAGCCTGAGAGCCAGAGCCACCTTGATTGTTGCAGAGATAAAAAAACGAAAGTGGGGCTGGGTGCGGTGGCCACGCCTGTCATCCCAGGGGCTCGGGAGGCTGAGGCAGGAGGATTGTGAGTTCAAAGCCAGCCTCAGCAACAGTGAGGCCCTCAGCGTCTCAGTGAGACCCTGTCTCTAAATAAAACACATAATAGGGCTGGGGACAGGGTTCGGTGGCCGAGTGCCCTGAGTTCAATCCCCAGAACACCCCCCACCAAAATGGGAAGAAATCATCAGAGCTTGTGATGACCCCAACAGCTGCTCACTCAGACAACCCATGATGAAAAACAGGACCCCCAGCTCACTGCCACCAAGAACCACGGTGACAACGGCCGTGCAGACCTCAACCCAAGGTGCCCAGGGCTCTCGTACGGGTCTCCCCCTCTTCCCTGGTTTCCAGGTGTTTCCCACCGTGCTTCCCAGACGCCCACGCTCCGCAGGGTCTTGCCCCCTTACACCCAGTGGGAGCTCTCATCCTGAGGCATCGCCCTCGGCCGTCCCCACAGGCCTGTGCCCACCACAGGTGAGAGGGCACCTTGCCAGGTCCTCTGCCCTGGTCCACTTTCCATGTGGATAACACTAACGTGACCCACTGACTGACTAACACAACCCTCCTCCACTCTGGGAGCCAGGCAGTGGCTCCACGTGGCCAGGTGGGTATGGTCCCTGCAGGGCTGGGAGACACCATTTGGCAGGAAAGCTCAGTGGTGAGAGTTTTGGAAAGGTAAGGGCAACCCCGTCATTATTTGCCAACGAGGTCAAAGAAAAGCCAAAGTGAATCAATGAAAGACTGTAATAATTAAATAAGGTTTTAATAAGGTAACCAAAATGTACAAAAGCCAGATAGCTTTTTATTTAAACAACAAGAAGAAAGAATCTTAGATGGAAAGACTACTTCTTATAGATTCTCCTGGTGTCATCTACAGGTTAACAAAAGCTTCAAATTCCAAATAACTGGTTTTTTTTTTTTTTTTAATTTGGGGCTGGGAGGAGGCCCAGGCTTGAAATAATACCAAAGCTTATATACCTAGAACATTTTTGACAAAAAAATCTTTATTCTTTTCCACAGGTATTAGAAGGATGAAAACTACAGAAGCTGACATGGGAAACGATAGCCCAAAACTACAGAAATAGAAACAGGAACATATGTGACTCTGCATTCAAACAGGTAGCATCAGGCCAGTATATGTTCAATGGGCTAACCACAACAGATCCCTACCTCACACCAACGGGCCGACCGTGTTGCATCCCTACCTCACACCAACGGGCCGACCGTGTTGCATCCCTACCTCACACCAACGGGCCGACCATGTTGGATCCCTACCTCACACCAACGGGCCGACCATGTTGCATCCCTACCTCACACCAACGGGCCGACCGTGTTGGATCCCTACCTCATACCAATGGGCCGACCATGTTGCATCCCTACCTCACACCAATGGGCCGACCATGTTGGATCCCTACCTCATACCAATGGGCCGACCATGTTGGATCCATGCCTTGCACCATTGGGCTAATCACGTTGGACCCTTACTTCATAACACAACTGAAAATAAACTTCCAGTCAATGAATACTGAAATGTACTCAAAGGAAAACAGATAAAAATGGAAATACTCTTGGTGTGAGAGAATTTCCAAGGATGACCTCAATGGCACAAATTATTCTTGGCTTTTAAATTTGGATGTCTGTTTCTGATTTAAAATTTTAAGTTTTACAATGTTACATCAAAAGGGGAAAATGAATGCAATTAGAAGGCAAGTGACAAGTCAGGAAAAATCCTTGGTAATGGATACGTCAACGCTTTAGTCACTTATTATGTAAAACTCTTTACAAGTAAAAATACTGAAAACTAAGTGCTCCATTGGGCAAAGAATGAGAGCAGACATCATCCCAGCAGCACAGGCTGCCACCTCGGCAGGTGCAAAGGGAAGCAGAGCGGCATGGGAGCGCCACACGGGAGCACGGTACTGGACACAGGAACGGCAAGGCCACAGCTGGGACAACTCACCAAGTCCTACAGGACACGGGCTCCTGGCTCCTGGCCCCCAGGACACCTGTGCCAGGCTCCAGGCTGTGCCCCTGTGATGGCAAAATGACACCATGGGCATCCAGCAGCTGTGCAGTGGGCCCTGGCTCTCACTGCCCGGCCTCCCCCGTGGGAGTGGGGAGCTGCCCACGTGCCGATGCAGGTGCACCCGTGGCCACCACCGCCTGCAGAGGGGAAGCGTCTAACCCGTGTCTCGGTCTCCTGGAGGTTTGCTGATCTCGCACATCGTCACTGATGGGGAAACGGCCCAGCCGCCCACCAAGGGTGTGCCCCTGTTCCCATGGAAAAGCCGCCTTCGTGTAGGGACGAAGGCGCTGGGGACAGGACCACTAACACTTCACCTGCCAGGGAGGCCCTCGGGCGGGGACGGCAACCCGGGCAGTCCAGGCCACTGTCAGCACTAAACACCTGAGACACCAGGAGCTGCTTCTGAGTGTAGGGCTGATATTCATTTTCTTTTTGGAAGGAGTCTACATTTTCAAAATAGTACCTGATGACCACATGACCAGTTCATCAGCAGAAAAAGAGTGTGAGAAGGCAGAGATTAAGATTAAACGTTTTATTCCAATTATTCAAATTTTTACTGTTGCTTTCAAAATGTTCTATCTTCTAAATGATCTCTACTTACAAGCTGACTCCATAACACCACCTCTGCCCTTAACCCTGCCCCCTTGCCCTCAGGTCCAGTGTGCCCACAGGACTGGGGTGGAGCCGGCAGGTGGCCCGAGCAGGCCTGTGGGTGGGCGTCATGTCCGTGGAAGGGCAGATGACACCTGCATACTGATGGTCGGTCAAACCCCGTGGACAGTGAGCCACCCCTGCCCTGGGAGCTTCTCACAGCTGCACATGAGAACAGGGACACGCAGGGACCTGGCGGCACACGCAGAGAGCCTCCCTGAGTCAGTGCCAGATACAGCCTTTTCCTGATCTTGGACAACTGCCATGTCCTGTTGATGAAAGGACAGTGGCTTCCAACCCAAGGACAGGCGGCAAGCCAAGGTCCCGCCTGATTGAAGGTAGAAAAGAAAAGGCAAAGCACAAGGATCCCCCCAGGTGCCCAGGTAAGGCGGGCTCTCTTGCTGGACAGGGAGGGCTGGGCCTGGTGTGCTAAGGCGGGAGGGCACCGGGACTCCCACTCAGGCAGGGGGACAGGAGGACTCAGGGCCTGCTCCTCACGGTGCGGAAAGGCCATGGATCTGGGCAGAGAAGCCCCATCAGTGAATGTACAGCTACGGTGTCCGACGAGGGGCACCAGGTAGAGATGCAGTGGCCTTGGCTGGGAGCCCAGGCAGGATGGCTGAGCGGGGGACCCGGCCTCTGAGCCTGGGCAGGCCACGTGAGGTGTGACTGGCGGGGCACTGGCAGCACCGTGGTTACCACGCAGGTCTGCGTTCAGAGCAGACCCTCCAGGCTGCTGAGGGTCTGGGATCTTCCCTCCCATTTTCTCTGAGAGGAGGAGGAGATGGGCACAGTAGACCACACCCTGAGAAAGCATGAAGCGCTCATTTAACTGTGGCCAGGTGGGGACGCCTCTCTATGGAAAGGTCCATGAGGAACGCTCAGCAGGAAGCCCTGGGCACTGCCCGTCCACAGTGGGCCACGATGCCGCCCGCGCTCACACCCCTGTGCTCTGCAGCTTTGGGAAATGTCCTCAATGGAAACTTCCAGATGCACCAAGAGCAGTGACCCAGGGTTCTCCCCTGAGGCCTCACGCCGAGTCGTGCAGAGGGCCTATGGTATGAGCTAAGGAGGTCAGGGCACAGTCACGTGGCCGCCCAGCTGGCGCCGAAGAGCCAGGGAGTCCCGGGAGAAGCTGAGGCTTGTGATGCCCATGGGGGTCAGAAGGCCTGGACAGTGAGTGGCCACTGAGTCGGGGACCTGAGCCCAGGAAGGAGGTGTGGACTCCAGTGACCACGCGAGGTCCCTTTCCACACAGCAGCTGGGGACCCAGACACCCCCCCCGGGCAATGCTGCTCAACCTGGGTGCAGAGCCATCAGCGCTGGGCACGGTGTGGCACTGGAGCTTGGAGAAGGGGCCATCTGGGCGTCTACGGAGCCAGCTTGGTGGCCATGTCCGCTGGGCTACATGGGGCGCTGCAGCCAGCGCGGCTACAGCTTGGCCCGGAGGCTGCCCACCACGGGTTTGTTCCCAGAGAACTCTGGCCACCACGACGGGCGCTCCAGCACCCCGCGCTCCTGCAGGATGGCGTTCCAGAGGTTTTTATAGAGCTGCAGGAAACACAAGGTACGGGGGAAGAAAGGGCTCAGCGGGTCCCGGGAAGGCCATGTCGAGGACAGGGATCCTCTGCAGTCACTTCTCAGAAAGTGTCGGATGTTTTAAGCTTAATTTATAAAAACCCTTTTTCAAAAGTAGAAAACAATTGGGACAATTCAGTTGTGAACTATGACGGCAGGCCCCGAGCTGCTCCCCGGGCTCGCTGCAGAGGTGGGCACGACCTGTGCAGCCCACACCTTCAGTCCGCCCTGAGAATGTCCTCTGGCGCCCTCGCACCACCAGCCAAGCTGGCCAGAAGTGCTGGAGAGCAGGCCCGGCCGGGGGGGTGCCCGGGCCCATGTGGCCCACCGGCCCTGTGCAGCCAGAGCCCCCTCGGGATCCTGTGCTGGACTGCCTGCTGCTCGCATCGCCTTGTAGGAAACCCGGGCGGGCAGCGGTTGTCTGGGAGGACGGTCCTGGATCAGCCTGGCTGGGGCCTGGTCCTCCACCCGCTGGAGACAGAGGTTCAGCCACCAAGGGCAGAGGGGCCTGTGACTCCAAAGGACCTGACCTAAGGAAAGGGGCCCTTCTGCCCTGACTGAGGGCGGCCACCCTCACCTGAGGATGGCCCTTGCCTGTGCCTGCGGCACACCTGTCAGCTCCAGCACTGCGGGTGGCCACCCAGACAGGCCGCGGCTTCTCCCGGGCACACACCCCAGCAGCTCTCACGTGGGAAGCATGTGCTCTTTTGGGCCTTCAGACCCGCTCTCGGGGTTTGCTCACTGAACTCCTACCTGGTCGCACCTGCTAAAACTTGGCTCCTAGTAGCTGGAAGAAAGGTGCAGTCCAGGCCACCCCACCAGGTGACACCTCTGGCAGGCTCTGGCTTGACTGTGGCACCCAGAGCCGGAGGGCCCTCTCCACCCTGGGGACACGAGACTCCTTTCTCTCGCACCTCCCGCCCACGAGCAAGGCAACTGCTCAGATGCAGGAGCCGGGGCGACCCTCCCTGCCGCGCAGGCTGCGGGCTGGGGTTCTCCGCCAGCCACAGGGCCTTCCACGGCAGGCCCCGCTGCCTGTCTGCCTGGTCAGCCCCCGGGGAGGGAAAGCCCCTCTCCTCAGGCTCCCACTGGGACCCAAGGTCCCCTCCCCTCTTCCTCATAAGCACCAGGACCCACCTCTCCACCTGGACCCTGGCTGGGCCATGCCGACTGGGCAACCCTGGGCAACCCACAGGGCTTCTCTGGACTTGTGTCCCATCAGCATAGTGGACAGGGGGACACAGTGTGGGCCAGGGAGGGTGAGAGGCAGAGCCTTGCTGGAGGACTGTGGGCCTCTGGATGACTGCCCTGTCCCTCCTGGTCTGAGGCACTCGGGTCTTCCATGCTGCCCACCCGGGCCAGGTCTGCCTTGTGGTGTGCCCACCCCAACCCAGGAGTGGCCTGGACTGTGAGGCCGGCACCTGCCCTTCCCTGGACAAGTCCGTCACAGGCTAAGAAGTGTTGATTCCGGTGTTCCCTGCCCAGTCTCCATTTAGGCAGAGCCCAGGTTGGCAGGTCCCTCTGGGGGACCCCGGGGGCCTGGGCTGGGTGACACATGCCCCCATAGCTGCAGCAGCAGACCTCAGACACGAGAGGAAACACTGCAATGCCAGGTCCCCATGGTTCAAGGGGCCGAGAGGCCCTGGGTATCGAGTTCTGGGTGAGGACAGGTGGACCTGTGAGTGTCACCCTGTGTGACACTGCCACTCACTGAGCAAGAGTCACACAGGGAGATGCCTTAGGCTCAGTGATGAGCCCTGCGAGGGTCACAGGGCAGTGGAGTGGGTGGGGGACGCTCCTGGGGGAGCCAGAGAAGGCTTCTGCGAGCAGGCAGTGCCCGGCTCAGGCGAGTGAACAGGGCGCTACAGGCAGCGGGAGCAGGTGCCCAGCCCTGGGCCGGGAGGAGGAGCACATTAGGAGAGTGTGGGAGGGCGGCGGGCTGGGTCCGAGGGCAGGAGCAGCACCTGGGAGCAGTGCTGGAGGGCAGGCTCACAGCGCTGGGCGGTGGCGGGGGGTCTGGGGGTGGGGTGCTGGGGGCCTCCATCGCCGGCAGGCTGACCCACCTGCTTCTAAAGAAACCTCTGTGGAGCTTAGAGGCAGGAATGATGGGGCCTTGCAGAGGCCACGGGAGCCCAGGTGGGCAGGGAGGGGAGAGCAGCCCCAGGGCTGTGGACAGTCACCGAGAGCTGGGGGCCTGAGCTGGGGTGGAGACCTTAACGCGGCAGGTCAAGCAGTGACATGCTGACCAGGAGGGGACCGGGGCAGTGGCCAGGGATGGTCCTTCATGATGTCTGTAGTGCCACCCCTGCGACTGGAACTCAGAGGCGGCGGGAGCCAGCCCTGAGCGGGGCCGAGGTCTGGGGTAGGCAGCGGGGAGAGCAGGGAGGCCGGGCCGACTGCCACTCCTGGGCCTGGGTGACGGGGCAGCCGCTCTGTCCCTCGGAGGAAGAGCAGGCCGGGGACGGCATGGCCAGCAGCCAGAAAGAGCAGCCAGTGACACCCACCCCGGAGGCTCCCTGAAGTGTGACAAGGTCCCAAGAGGCTCCGCAGTGCCACAGAGACTCCTGCCAGCCCCTGGGACAGCCCACGTCCCACCCAGATGAGGGGGTCCTTACCTCGCCGTCAGCCCTGGCGATCGGTGAGTCCAGAACAAAGTCAGGAGGAGCGATCACGTCCACCAGGGCAACCGCGTCGTCTTTCAGCTGTTGGAAAACACGGTCCCCACACTGACAACCACCCGCACTCTCAGGGCCACGCCGAGTCAGCAGCCAGGCCCTGGGACCCAGGCAGGCACAGGCCGCTCTGACTCAGGGCCCGGTCACCACTGTGTCTGGACACCCCACCGCGCTGCTGTTCACTCAGGATTCTGGGCTTGTCTTTCCCCACAAGGTGGGGATGCGGGCAGAGACCCCAGTGCAGCCTGCTAACCAGAGCTGTCCCCAGAGGCTTGTCTTGGTCTCGGAGGACCTGGTGACTGCTGCCTGCCTGACCCAGAACAATGGGCCAGGAGTCACAGGACTGCAGAGGCCATGGGCTCCGGTAAGGCCAGCAGGGTGCAGGGCCCCTGTCCTGTCTCAGATTGCTCTTCAAGGCCACAAAAGAATTCTATCTGCGGAGACCCCCAGAGTTTTCTTGGAAGCATGACATTTTTCCTTTGAGTAACTGGGATCAACTGTCCTAGCCTCCCTGCCAGGTGGGAAGCGACTTCAGGGTCCTGAACACGTAGCACAGTGCGTGACATGGGTGTGCTTTGATATGCAGGCCACCCCACAGCATGCAGACGGAGACGTCACGCATCCTGGCGACTACACACAGGGGTCACAGACGGCCACTCACCTGTGTGCACAGGTCCAGGATGGCGCTCTCCATCTGTGTCCCTGTGTGCTCATCAGAGAAGTATCCACCTGCAAGCACAGCCTTCGTCACAGCAGGGCTGAGCCGTGGCCCCCCGCCCACGCAGCAGTGCACCCAGGAGGCCCTGGACAGGCCCTCGGGGAACCTGTTTGGGTGGAGCTGCCCAGCAGCCGTGAGCCACTCAGACCTTGTCCCTGCCTGGATCCATTCCTCTGAGCATGTGATAGGCAAGTCAAGGGCCAGGCACTGGGGACAAGGAAACTGGCCTGGCCGGAGGAGAGGCAGTGAGACACACAGCCCTGAGGGCCTGGGCTCTACCGGCCAGGGCAGGAGGCTGGGCTGGTGCTTCTGAAAAAGGAACCCAGGTGGGGGCTTCGAGGCCGAAGGAGGCCTGGGCAGAGGCTTGTAGCAGCCAGGTACCCAGGACCACAGAGGGACCAGGAGGGCCACGGAGCTGTGGCATGCAGGGTCCATGGGCCTCTGGAGCCACTGGGGTAGGAGAATCAACCCGAGGGAGGGCCACCTCCAGCCCCTTGGCTCCTCTGGAGTCCTAACAGGTCCAGGCAGGGCCTGTGCGTTTGAGAAGGTGTTTGCTCAAGGATTCGCTTCCTGGAGGGTCTCCTCTAGAGAATGGAGTCCGGCCACGCAGCCTCCTCAGACAGCACTGGGCGCTGTCCTGCCCAGCTCCTCCTCTGCCGGCCACTCTGCTGACCTGGGCCTCCATGGGGCAACGCCACCACCCCAGGGGCCCAAAGCTGGTGTTGGTGGGGGGGGACCTCACTGCCCACAAGCCCAGACACAGCCCCAGCACAGGGAGGGCTCATGGGGTGACTAGGAGAGAGCATCAGAAAAGGCTCCCCGGGGAGAACCCTGGCTCCCCGGCCCTGCCAGGCTTCCAGATCAGCTTGGGCACCGCCTCCTCCAAGAAGCCACCCAAGATCTCTAGACTGGAAACTCCTGGCGGTGTTGTCCCAGCAGCCCAGTCCTGTCTCTGCCTGTGGCCCACAGGGCTGGCTCTGCTCTCTGGAACCCAGCCCACTTCCCGGTGACAGTGGCCTGAGCCAGGCACGATGGTGCACCTGCTACCCCAGGGACTCCAGAGGCTGAGCACTGCACATCTGAGGCCAGCCTGGGCCACCCAGCGAGATTCTGCTCAGAGTAACAGGTAAGAGGGGTGGGCGCAGCTCAGCAGTGGACAGCTTGCCCAGCATGCAGGGGGCCCTGGCTTCAGTACCAGACTGAACACGCACACGCACACACACATACACACGCACACACACACGCACACACGCACACACACACACACATGTACACACACACGCACACTTCTGGAAGCATCAATGAAGCACACAGGAGGCTGACTCTGCAGGGACTGTGGACAGGGGCAGCTGCGTCTGGCCAGCGGGTGCTGACATTTCTCTGCCCTTTCTGCTGGCCTCATGTTGCACTGGGGCACCTGGGCCCCTCCACTGAGCCCGCCTGGAGATGCTGCCACACGGGCAGGGCACAGCTGCCTGCGTTCACAGGGCACAGGTCCCGGGGGGCTCCTGTGCTGGGAGGCCGGCCAGGACAGTGGTCTCACCTCGATAGAGCAGAGCCGTGTGCCGGCTCAGCGACCACAGGGCGTAGAGAGCGCTGAGCCGCCCCAGCACAGCCCGCAGTGAGGACGGCACGCCAGGGCCGTGCGTGTAGGCGTGGAACCGCTGCACCACGGTGAGCTCCAGGAAGACCAGGGCCAGCGAGCGGCAGTGGTACACCTTGGAGACAGAACAGGGCCGCGTCCACCAGGCTGCGCCCCACGGGGCTGCCAGGAAACGCAGGCCAAGGCCTTGGTGAGGCCAGTCCCACAGGCCCCCTGGGTGGGGGACGGGGACACAGCACACCTCAAGAGCTGGTCCACACACCCAACAGAAGCGCCGTGCGGACACAGCCCAGCGCAGCCTGGCACTCGGGCCCCGGGACCCCTGTGCCCAGCTCAGGCCATCTGGAACTTGGCTCGGCAGTGACAGCACAGGGGCGGGGCAGGCTCGGGAGGCTGCTGCTGCCCAGGGGAGGTGACACCAGCATATGGCCCCAGGGTGCAGGGCCTGCAGTCTTCTGCAGCTGGGACACTCGAGGGACCCAGAGGGGCTCCATGGCCTGCCCCAGTGACACTGCTGGCAGCGTGTCACTCCTCCAAGGGTCACCTAAGTTCCTAAAGAGGCCATTCTGCCCTCTGCTCAGGCATTCGCCCTGAGACAGGAGGCCAGACGCAACGCAGCCCAGCCAAGCCTGCCTGAGCCTCTGGGTGGAGGCTGGCAGCAGGGGGTCACGGTCGGGTCCCGCTTTCTCTTCTAACCTGTACCCAAAATATCTGCAGACAACCCTTAGTGTTCCTTCCCTCATCTCCAATTTACAGTCTCACCAGGTCCTTTTAAGTCCCGGGAACGATTGTGCGCTGCTTGGTTTGTGAGTGAGCGTGAGCTGCTTCTGAGGTTGAAGCTAACACATCAAGAGACGGATGGGGACCGCGGCGCCCCTGCGTGTGACACTGCCACCACCTCAGCCGGAACACACAGGGCTCACCCCACCTGACTTCAGGGGCACGGAGCCTCCCCTCAGGCCTGCTCACCCTCGGGGCAGCACAGGGTCTCCAGTCCCAGACTGGCCTTCCCCAGGGCCCCGGGCACAGTCGCAGCCTCCGAAGAGCAGACATTCCTCCCTCTGCCTCCTGCCACCAGACTGTCCTGTCCCAAGAGCCCATAGGGTCATGCACACTGTAAGGCAGGCCCGCTGGGGGCCCACAGGGCCTCCGCCACAGCCTGGCCTGACCCACCCTCACATGCTAAGGTGCGCGTGTCCCTGCCTTGGCCAATAGAGGCTGGAGGCAGGGCAGGGAGGTGAGGACTGCTATGGACCCCAGCTGGACCTGCGCCCAGATTTCCCAGGGCTCTGCTGAGTTCAGGGGGGGTGGGCCCTCGGGCTGCTCATGTCCTCTGGCTGGTCATGTGGCCGGGCCAGGTGCTCTGGCTTCCTGGGCTCCCCCGTCCTCCCTGGTCTTCCCTCCACCCGCTGACAAAATGGACAGGCTGAGCCTGGCAGGTCCAGAAAGTCCCACCCACACCCCAGCACACACCACGAGCCCTCCTCTACCAGGTGTCCTCTCTGGGGTCAGAGGTGAGGTCAATTCCACAGGCCTGGACGTCGGCTGGGGCCTGAGCCAGGCTTGCTCTTCTGTCCATGCCCTCCCTTCCGCCACACGGACTGTCTAGTGTTCAGGTGACCCTCTTTTATCGTCTTCCTGTGACAGCAGCACATCTCCATTTCTGCTGTGCCACAGGCTGGACGGGTGGCTGGTGAGCGTGGAAAGACAGCTGCCCCTGTAGCTCGCCACCACGCAGCAGGGACACCTGGTTCCAGGAGGTGGCAGCTGTTTCTGTGAGCAGTGCGTGCGGCCAAGAGCTGACCATGTCTGCACAGGAGCGTCCACAGCTGTGGTCGGGAGCCCTGGGTGTTGTTCAGGGTCAGCTTGGAGCTCGCAGGTGACGCTCCTCACACCTTGGGAAGCACCTGCATTGTGGCTCTTGGTGGCCTGCGGGCTTCAGCATGAGGACACGCCCTTGCATTCTGGGAAACGTCCACATAAGACCACTGGTCACAGGCTCCAGGGACAGACTCCTCACCAGTGTCTGTTGCTGCAGTCAGTAGATCTGACTGCAATAGTGACCAAGGTGGGCTGGGGCAAGGGACAAGGGCGTCCCCATCGTCACTGTTACAGCTGGTGCCTTCAGGCCAAGGTGTTCCTGGAACCCACGGGCCAGTGTGGGCAACTCACTGTCCCCAAAGCTATACCAGTCGTGGACAGGACAGTGGGTGTGGGGCCTGTTCCAGAGCAAACTTCTGACCAGTCTCAGTGCCCCCAGAGCTGTTCCACTGTCCCTAGTTCAGGACGCAACAGGCACACAGGAGTTGCAGCTATGGACCAGGTGCCACCCTGCAGCAGTGACCCCTGCGGCTCATGGACAGAGGGCACACAGGGGGGCCTGGCTGTGCCTAAATCCCAGCCATCCTGTCTGCACATCGGTCCCCAAGGCCAGCCTTCCCTCTCACAAACCCCAGACACCTCCAGCCAGGAAAGAAAGGGAGAATCGAGTACTCGTTGTGCCTGAGTCTCCGAGGCCTCGCACCTTAACAGGCAATGAACACTTCGGGCAAAACCCAACTGCAAGCTGGCCAGGCCCAGACCCAGCGGTGCGGAACGGGGGACAGCTGGGCTCTAGGTCCAGGTCCAGGTCCATCTCCCAGTGCTAGGGTCTGTAAACAAGTCAGGATGGCGCCTGGCATTTTGCCAGAGGGAGTGGTTTGTGAAGTAACGCCAGCGAGCCATTAAGTGTGGAGATTCCTGATTGGTTGACTGCTGTATCTAGTTTATGCTAATTAGATAAGCTGTGTGGAATGTATATACACCGCTCCTGTCCTACAATAAACGGCCCCTCTCCTGCTGTATCAATCTACACAAGTTGTTCGTCACCCCCCGGTTATTTTGCTGCAGCCGGACTGCGGCATCCCAGCACAGCTGAGCCAGGAGGCCTGGGCGTTGCTCTCCCCCTCAGGTTCCTTAATTCCCCAAAGGACATAATGTGACGCACAGAGCCCAGGGTGACTAGAGGGAGAGAAAAAGTCCTTCTCTGCAGGTCTCTGGGTTCCGTGCAGGGCTGGTCCCAGGGCTGGGGTCAGTGAGGCAGGGATGAAGACACCGCCACCTTTCTACAGCACTGGCCAGCACAGGAGGGGGCCTCCCGGCCGAGGCACCAAAAAGTGCTTTTGGTTTTAAATAACCTACTGTGCACATGGGGCCGCAGTAGGAAAGCAGTAAAGGGCACTCACCTCTGCAAAGGGCCATAGGTGAAGAAAGTCAGTAAAGCCTGCTGGGGGAGGGGGAGGCACACTGTCCCCTCAACAAGAGTGGCCGGTGACTGCCCCAAAGGGCAGCACGCGGAGTAGCTGCTGCCCAACACCAGCCAATGCCTGGGGCGTGTGACCTCCACCCGGAGGTCCCCGTTGGTTGTGCCCCCACGCTCCCAGCCCAGGGCCCGGCTGGCTGTGCTGCAGGTGACTGCTGCTCCTCAGGGAAGCCCAGCTTTCCTCTTCCTTCAGTGCTGCTGCAGCCCAGGGCCTCACACACTCAGCAAGCCTCTGCCTCGAGCCACACCCAGCCCAGAAGGCTGAACTTTTCAACTGTTAAGTCAGTTTTCTTTTGTAGCCTCGGAGGACCCCGCCTTCAGGAGGCTGGTCCAGGACTGAGGTTAGGTAAACAATCTGCCTTTCTTCCCGAGCTACGCGGCTGCTGACCTCACTGGTAGGGCAGGGACTGTGCTCCCGCAGCCTGCGTCCAGCCAGGGCCCTGGGAGCTCTCAGCTGTCTGCAGTCTGGCTCCTAAACTCCCTGTGATCCTGAGCAGGGAGCCAGCCTGTCCTGGTGCTCCCTCCCCAAGGCCTCGGGGCCACCTCCATCCTGGCTCCTGCCCCTCTGTGCGGCCACACAGCAGCATGGTCAGCTCCGGCTCTCCCAGGAAGCCCATCCCAGCTGGACCCAGACCCTGGGGCCTGTCTTGTTTGCAGCTGGATTCACTGAAAGGCAGCTGAGAAGCCCATTAGTGAAGCACCCAACGAAGTGCTCCCCAAGCACCACGCCACACGTGGTGCTGAGGACGCATGGCCAGAGGCCAGCACTGGCCAAGGGCAGCACGGAGGCCAATCGGGCCTCCTGCAGTGCTGGGGGTGCGTGCTGTTGGCGGGTGCTGTTGGCAGGTGCTATTGGCAGGGGTGACTTGTGCCACCATCTCTTCAGGGGTCTCAGTTGGTGATGAGGGCAGGTTGCTACTCATTTTAGAATGACCACTGGACCAGCAGGCAAGAGTGGCCAGAGCCAGTGGCCAACCATCCTACCCAGATGGCCAAGTTGCCGTGACCCAGCCCTAGGGTACAGAAAGTGGCCTGTTCCAGAAGGTCTTTCTAAGCCTCCTAGTTGGGCCACTGTGGACCTGAACTGGAAGCTGAACTGACCTTGGCCATCTGCTGAACTCATTAAGTCCTAGGCTCCATCTAGTTCATTCCTGCTCAGCAGGAGCCCGGCACCCTGGGCAGGTGAGCCACCTGGGTTCCCGAGCAGCTGCTTGGCCTCGTTACCTGACACCGAGAGGAGGGGGCAGCAGCAGCCCTGCGAGGCCTGGGTGTGCTCACCAGGGCCTCCCAGAGGACCCTGTCCCCGTGGATCCTCCGCCCAGGGCTGGCCCACCACGGCCCGGCAGAGCAGTGCTCCACACCAAGTGCTCCCGCAGGCACCCAGCTGCGGAACCACAAGCTGCCCAAGCCACTCACGAGCTGCTTGGCCCACTCCCACCAAGGCCCAGGGAGGGGGGCGGGCCCTTGAGAAGAGCTGGGCGCGGGGCAGTGGGGCAGGCTCGGGAGCCATCCCATCAGGAGGAGCCTGAGGCCTGCACTGGCACTTCACAGAAGACCAAGGCTGTCACGGCTCCCTTTCACTCCCCAGGACAGCTCTGGCCCCAGCAGAGACCACGAGGCTTGGTAACAATGCGCCTCGACCCCTCCCCCACACCATAAAGCAGGTGCCACCGCCATCCTACAGAGGAGCAAAGTGCCAGAGGCCAGCGATCATCCCAGGCTCTGGGAATTCCGGGGGAGGGCGGCAGCCACAGGGACATAACAGCAAGGGAATTAGGGGCAAAAAAAGCAAATTTCAAAACAAGCAAGTACCTGGCTGTTGTTTCTTGCTTCGAAGTCACTGCTCTGGGACCTCCTCTCTCGAATTAACTTCTGATGACTCTCTTGGAGCAAGTAGCACACCAGCCACTTGTACGCAGCCAGGGGGGCTTTACAACAGGAAAAAGAAGAGATCAGCAACAGAGCCCTCAGCAGCTGCCCTGTGCCCACCCCGGGACAGATGGACAGGGCCGGCTGCAGGACACGATCCAGCACATGTCTCGAACTGAGTAGGGACTGGCAGCAGGCAGCTCCTGCCACCCGTCAGCAACAGCTCGGTGTCCTGAAGGTGAGGGTCTTGGATCCCGTGCACCTCTAAACTCACTGGCAGATCCCGGAAAGCCATGCTCCTGCCAGTCCAGGAGAGCCGGAGGGCCAAAGGTCACTATATAAGGCTTCCCTGGACCCACATGAGGCCAGGGCCGGACTTGGGGTTTGTGACCATGTGTACGTGGGACACAGGCTTGCAGCCAGTGGTTTTATTGCAGTTTCTCCTCCAGAAAACACTTCCACTTTGCTGGGTCTTGCACGGTTAAGCAGGAAAGCACAGGACGCAGCTTGGCAGGTTTGCTGGGGCGGGTGCGCCGGGAGGGCCCAGCGCTCCTGCTCTCCGTGCCAGGGAATGGGGAGAGGCAGGCAGAGCCGGCAGGTAGGGGAAGCCGAGCCCTGAATTCCAGTTTCACAAGGCCTGACGACTGGGGAAAGAGCTCTGGTGGCTGAAGGAACTACCATGGTGAGGTCATTTTCTAGCGCTTTCTGTGGCGACACTTGGGAAGCTCAGACGTAGATCTTCACGTGACCCCATTTACTATTAGCACATTAAAAAGGCAGATTGATAACAGAAAGATCTGTTGCTGTCAGAACAGCTATATCAGCAGGTGATGGCGGGGAATACGGCAGCTACTCTGGGCTGTGTTTCCTGGATCACAATGACGACGATGACAATGGGTCACTCTGCAGCGCGGCCTCCTGCAGGTGCTGCCACGGCGCTGGTTCTCTGCTGCAGGCCCTCTCGGGAGCCCCGCAGGCTGGGGGCTGAGGAGGGCGTGCTGGACGCCGGCAGTTGCCTTGCTCTGGCTGACAAGGGGCCTGGTGGCTGGGATGCCCTGCTCCTGTCCTCCTGGGGAAGAGGCTGGTGGCTCTTTATCCTGGGGATCCAGGGCCCTCGAGGATGCTCATCCTTTGGCCTCCTGTGTACAAAGCCCGGTGCCACCCCACAGTCCTCCAGATAGCCTCAGCGGACGGGAACCATTAAGTCTGCAGCAGTGCAGTGTGTGCCTGAGCACCGGGGACACGAGGGGCTCAGGACACACAGCAGGCAGAGGCCAGAGCACAGAGGCCTCTCCCATGGCCTGTCCCGGGGAGGAAGAGGTCTGGTGGCGGGAAGGGCACTTTCCTTTTATCCTGGAGCCAGCACCTCCGAGCCACAGGCACAGAAAGATGGCCCAAGAACAAGTCATTAAAGATAAAAGAAAAGGCCCATGCCACACCCAGGACCTCCCACTGCCCGGCACCCTAGCTAGCCACCAGAGACCCCCGTGGCCCAGCATTTTCTGGGGTAATGACAGAAAACAAGAGAGCCAGGGAAACCTCCTGCCCATGACCAGGGGGAAGGGACACACCTGCAGAGTCCAGCCAGTCCGCTTGGTGGGTGCCTGTGAGCCTCTGGCTGAGGATGCTGGGGTGGGCCTCCAGAAAGTCCACGGTCCGCAGCGGGCTTCTGAAGCGAGCTCCGTCTAGGACACACACTCCATGACTTTGGTGAAAGGGGCCCCCCAAGCCCGCCCTGAAGACACAGCGACCCCTGCCCAGCTCAGCGGTCACGCAGCATGGCCCCTGCAAAGTGAGGCACCCCTACCTGGCCCGCAGTGCTCCAGGATGGCCAGCAGGTAGCTGCTCGTCTGCTGCAGCAGGACGTTGTTGTCACCTTCGTACGTGCAGTTCGGGTCGTTGTCATTCCTGAGGTCACCCAGGCGGTTCACTGTGACAGAGCCACAGGATCTGCATCATTTACCAAGCTCACCTGAGAGACGCCACCGCCACCCACAGGGGTGAGGAGCCCCATGTCCCCTGAACTGCCCCTGCGTCTCCGGCACTGACTCGAGACCCAGCGGTGCCCTGGGAGGGCATGGGAGGGGTGCAGGGCTACTGGCTGCTGGACCAGGGCTGTGGAGGGGGTGCAGTACCACTGGCCACTGGACCAGGGCTGTGGGGGGGCTTCAGACGGCAGCTGGGGCCTCCCTGCGGCCCAGGCCTCTGCACCTGGTAGCGCCTCCCAGCAGCATGGGGACCGGCCTGCCCACGGTCTCCACAGCGGGTCTCCAGGGAGCTGATTCCAGGGCTGCCCTTCCTCCTACGGCTGGACGGACCTTGCTTTTCAGCGAGAAACCTCAGCTGTCAGAAACGGTCAGTCTCACGGCTCCGTATAAGGCACTCTCCAGGCCCTCACCCACCTGGTCTCCCTCCTGAGATGGGGACTTTACAAGCACGAGGCTGCCCCCGAGGAGCCCAGCCTGCAAGCAGGGCGCCCGTGGCCACACCCACACGCTGTACGAACGGAGGCAGCCACAGGCTGAAAGGTGCCCTGCTGCAGGAGGCTTGTGGTCACCTCTGGTCATTTTTCAAAACACTAATTAATACCTTAAACCTAGATATGGGCGTTTACATTTGTCTCTGTTGACTTCGGTCTTACTGGTCTGGCCCAGTGTTTAAATAAGTTAAAAACCTCGATTCAGTTACTTTTGTTGTCTCCAGTATTACATGATTCAATTTCCTTATTCTACTTAAAACGGGAACAGGTGGGGCCGGGGATGGGGTGCAGTGGTGGAGCGCTTGCCTAGCATGTGTGAGGCACTGGGTCTCATCGTTAGCACCACATACAAATAAATAAAATAAAGGTCCACTGTCAACTAAAAAAATTTTTTTAAAAATGGGACAAAGCTAAACTATTTGTAGTGTTTCTATGGGTTTTAACAACAAAAAACACCAAGAACTTCACCCAGAGGACGAAAACACACCTATGTGTAAATTCTATACATCCATGGTCCCCGCACTCCAGTGCATATCAGGGACAGCGTGCAGGCACGGAGGGCCATGCTGATGTCCAGCGGTGCTGGAGAGGCTCGGCCGGAGCAGCGGGGACAGCCAGCCACTCAGGGGCACAGCCATTCTGGGTCCTTGCTGCACCCTTCACCAGCTGGCAAGAGCCTGCAGAACCTCCCCAGGCCGGGAAAGAGAACAGCTTTGCAGCTGAGCTGTGGGGCGAGTCTGCGGCCTTCTGGGAGAGCTGGTTGTGAAGATTTTCCCACAGGAAAATTAAAGATTTTCCCACAGGAAGCTGTGCAGATAAGCTGCAAATAACGACACTAACAACTGCCGGGGACGATGGCGCTCGCCTGTGATCCCAGCAGTGAGGGAGGCTGAGGCAGGACGAGCCCAAGTTCAAGGTCAGCCTCAGCAACTTAGCGAGGCCTGGTCTCAAAAGATGAAAAGGGCTGGGGCGTAGCTTGATGTAGAGCACCCGGCTCTGATCCTCAGTACAAAAATAAGAAGATAAAATGGAAGTAACCATGATTCCAACGCGGACAGCCACGGGAGCAGGGAGCAGCGCCGGGCCAGAGCCCAGTCAGACTCCCACTGACTCGCCACGTGACTCACTCAATCCCGGCAGGAGCCCACACCACAGGCAGACCTGAGAGCCCGAGCACCACGGCTAAACTGCCTTCAGTGGACACCAGCGAGGGCTGGCCTGGCCTCGGGGGAGCTGGCTGACCCTCTCAGCCTCGTGTCAGCTGCCTGAGGACCCGCCAACACCAATGGAGCACGTTCCTTTCTAGGCATGAGCACTCGTACCAGTTTCCTGCCGAGTCATTGACCAAAAGCTTGCCTCTCCCTGCCTGGCCTGCGCCCTGCCTGGCCCCTGGGGCCCCTCACATATCCCACCTGCTGCCTCATTGTCCAGGACATGGGTCAAGAAAGCAGAGGGCGCTGTCTGGGGCAGAGGTCAGCAAACCACACTGGGCATGGTTCATGGCCAGCCTGTGAATGCGTGGTTTCTGTCGGGGCTGCTCGGGCCACTCAACATTGGCAGGGCGGTGTGGAGATGGCCACAGGAAGCCTGGGAGGACTGGGTGCCTGGGGCTGGGTGCCTGGGTGCCTAGATGCCAGGGAATTCCATTCACAAGCACAGGCAGCGGCTGGGCTTGGCCCATGGGCTGCAGCGTGCTGACCCCTGGCCTAGCATCAAACAGCAGGGATAAGGGCAGAGACCACCGCGCGCTTCTCCAGAACCTACTGGCCAGATAGCCGTGTCCACCGCAGGCCTCCCGGCACTCCTGGATTCCTTGCTGGGCAGTCCATGAGGCCAGAGGCTTGCCGGCCGATGCCAGAGCATGGATCTCGCGCCCGAGCTCTGTCTTTGGGTGGGGAATCCAATGAGAATGGGTGAAAAGACCCTGAGACTGCAGGTCAGGCCCCAGCATCAGCAACGGCATCAAGGACAAAGGACCGCATCCCCCGCTCTAGTCCAAGACCCCTGCGATTCAGAGGAGACCCAAGCTTAATTAAGGACAGGGAGGGACGCACCCAGGAGTGGACATGGCATTGATAAATGGACCACGCTCTGGGCAGCAGACAGGCCTCAGGGCCACGGGGTGGGCAGCGGGAGCCCAGCAGAGGAGTGACGGCTGCCTCGGCTCTCGGAAAGCCCACGGAGCCCAGGCGAGTGGGGAGCCAAGAAGGTGCTCTCGCAGAAGGGCCACAGAGCAAGGGAGGGAACCCGCACAACACCAGAGACACGCCTCCCTCCAAGGGGACAAGGGCCAGGATGGGAGCTCATGGCTGGGGCTGGCGGAAAAGCCTGACCACAGACAGCGCCCGGCAGGGCTCTCCCCCGCAGGACACTCGCTGCCTCGCACCCAACCCCGCACACATCCCCTGAGTCCTGCTGCTCTACTTGACATTCAGGAAACAACTTAGAGAGAGAGAGAGAGAGGGAGGGAGGGAGGGAGGGAGAGAGAGAGGGAGGGAGGGAGAGAGGGAGAGCTGCTAAAGAAAATGACCCACTTTACAAGGGTTTTCAAGTTCAAATGAGGGCAACTTCGAGCTTGTATGGTGTCTGTCTGGGCCAAGGAAGAATAAGCCCGGTTGTGCCCCGCGCCACTGACACCGCAGAGCCAGGACTCGTGCCAGGGAGAAGCCTGCCAGGCCCTCCACCTGTCCCAGTGCCCAGGGACTCTAGCCGCTCACTCCGCGTTTACACCCCACATTCCACGGCATGCAATGCGGAGGGGCTTCCAGAACCCGGAGCCCGACCCCGGCTGCAGCGGTCCTAGTCTGTTTCCAGGGGCACTCATCTGGACTCAGTCTCACTCCGCGCAGGCAGCGGACCACGGGGGCGCGGAAGCCAGTCTGTGCAGTAGAACTGGGACGGGCCGCCTGAGGTCGTGCTGATCTCCGTGGACCTGCACGCCACTCCTGCACAGATCCTCAACTGTCAACTCGACTCCCGTCAGCAGGACTCAGCCTTTGTACGTTGTTTATGAAAGGATCAGAACCATGAAATCCGCTGAGGGGCTGGTAACGGGGATTTTGCAAAACCATCACATTCTCAAAAGGAGAACAAGAGCTGAACTCAGACAGGAATTAGGAGTCGTGTCAGCACATGCTTGAGAAGCCAGGGCGTGCACGCAGCCCAGACCGCTGCAGTCGAAGCACGAGCCAGGTCCCGAGCAGCTGGCACGGCCGAGGGACACGTCGTGGGCCCTGTGCTCACAAATCAACACATGACTTTGTTTAGGAATCATGGCTGGGATGCGGCTCAGTGGTGGAAGCCTTTCTCACTGACGGCCCTGGGCTCCACCCTCAGACAAGTCAGGAACGGAGAGTGAGACAGGAGGAAGGGGTCACGGAGGGAGGGGCGGGAGAAGACCTTCAAATCAGCAGGATCTGGGCTGCTGGACCTCAGCAACCCGAACCCTGTGCGCTAAGCAGAGCATGGACGCCTCACCTGCCTGGGCCCGTGGTCCCCCCGCATCAGGCCTCGCTGCAGCTGCATCAGGTCCAGGAAGAGCGATCTGGAGAAGTGGTCCAAAGCATAGGCAGCCGCCAGGTAGGGGAGCAAGCGCCACTGCTACAAGAAACCAGACATGGCCCGCGTCCTCCTGAGGGGCCAGCCACTGCCCACCCAGTGACCTCAGACCCCCGGGAAGTCCACTTGTGAACTGAGAGGACACTGCCTGGTGCACAGGCCGGCTGGGCCCCAGCCTGGGCTTCCTAGGCCTGGGGCAGGTAACACAGTCACGTGGTCAGGAAACTAGGCTCAAGGGCAGAGAGCGTGGGCTTTTCACCTGTGCACATCAGCACAGGACAGGGACAGGTGAAGGGAACCCAGTCAACTGCCACCACCAGGGTCCCACATTTGCCAGGCACCAAAGGCTGTGCCGGCTGCCTCCGCGTACAAACTTATCCGATCCCTGAGACCCGGGAAGAGTGTCACCAGCAGCACCACACAGACCCAATACTGGGTATGGGGCCGGGGCACTGGCCCAGGCCCTGCCTCCCATCAGGGTGGGGCTGGGTTTGTGGCTGAGCTGCCCTGGCTCCTGACCTGTAGCTGGAGGAGGGGGCCGGGGTGGGCAGGCCATGGGCTGCCCAGGTACGGACAGCACCCTACTCCCCTCGGCATGGAGGCACCTCAGCCTCAGTGCACGGAAAGGTGTGCAGTAGTCACACCCCACAGACTCACTGGACACGCCTGCTCACGCACAGCTCGGCCCCCAGCCTGACCAGAGCTACCCACTGAGCTCTGAGCCTCACCATCTAATCCTCGGTCCCCACCTGTGTGGTGGGGATCACAAGGCGATCGCCTGGCTGCGAAGGCCCGCCGCACAGCCCCAGGTCCAGCAAGGCAGGGGCCTGCGCCTCAGGAGCCGGCATATGGGAGGGGTCAGCTCCCCGGCTGTGCCTGCCTGGACTGCCGCCTGGGTGTCTGTGCTGAGCCCTAAAAGCCACCACAGGGGACAGGGCTCCACACTCACCTGTTGCTTCTGACAATCATTTCCTGGGAATCATGTCTCAGGGAAGGAATGGATGACAGGTGGACAGGCGGCCCACCACCTGCCACAGCTGTGGGACCTCACGGCCACATCAGGTGAGCATGCCTGCTGCCCAGACCTCGCCCGGCTGGCCTGCCCTGGCCCCTGCTGAGGCCATTCTACACACAGTTCCTTGAACTACAAGCCACCCGGGGCACACCGGGGCCTCGCTGCCTGCGGCCACACCCCTTGCCTGTCCCCTTACTGCCGACGGCTTAGACCAGCTCCCAGGAGGCCAGAAAAGAGGCGCCTGGGCAGCAGGGAGCAGGAAGCCCACACCTGCAGCTGGTACTCGAGCACGGGGACCTCCTCCTCCTCCGTTGGTCCAAACTGACACCGAGTGGCCGAGAAGCGGAGCGCGATGGACACGGCCAGCTTCAGGTTCACCACCGACATGCCGATGATGCACACCCGGCCCGAGGACAGGCTGCCCAGCGACGCTCCGAAGCGCTGCCTGGTGTCCTGAGGAAGAGAAGCAGGCACTGCGCGTGGGCCAAAGACGAAGGTGACCTTGCCTTCCCGTGAGCCCTGGGGCACCCAGAGCCAGCCTCCCGGCACAGACGGCGGCTGGGCCTGCAGATGGCAGCTGCCACCAGTGAACCATGGGCGGAGGAGGGGAGCCCAGCTGCGGGAGGAAGGGGCGCTCCAGGGGGAAGGAATGGCAGCCCACAGCTCTGCAGGAGCCCTCCTTAGGGACCAGGCCCTGTGTGCACCCGGCGGTAGGCAGCAATGGCCTGGGTGGCTGGAGGGCAGCAGGGTGCCCACAGTCTGGGAGTGCATCTCTGGCCTGACATTCTGCTGAAAAAATAGGTTCCTTTTATCCCCAACCCTGTGGATTCCCCTGTCCCTGTCAGAGGACCCGATCTAAGGGCTAACAGATGCGCGTGTTCTGTGTCCCTGGGGAGTGGGAGGGTCTCAGAGCACCTCCAGTTTTCACCTCTGGTCGCGTCTCCTCCTGCCATAAGCAGTCAGGGTCCCTGGTGGGGCTGTGGCACGTCCAGTACACAGCCTCCCAAGGCCCCGTCCCCTCCCGCCTGGCTGCTGTTACCCCAGGTGTTGCGTCATCTTCCAAAACACTGTGGGTTGGGGAGACGCACCCCAGCGCCAGTTCTGCTGGCGTGGGAACACGTGCTCACCGTCACTCCCCCCACCCCCCGGCCCCCCGCCGTGCTGCCTTGAGAATCCCAAGTTCAGGTGACTTCTGCTCACTGCCATCAGACCTGAGGGCTCCAGGACTTTCCTCTGAAGTCCCCCAGCTCCTCTCCTGCTCCTGCCCGGCCGGCGTCTGCTCCCCTGGGAGCATGAGGTCCTCCACCCGAGCACCCCGTCCTGTCCGTCTGCAGACTGCTCGTCCACACTCAGCCTCCCCAGGGCCTCCGCGGCCGGTGGGCATCAGGGGCCGCCTGCCCTCGGGCTGTCCTGTGGCCTCCAGAGTTCCTTCTCCAGGCCCCCGGCTTCATGTCAGGGTGGTGTTTTCACAGCTCAAGGTCACATGCTCCGTGGCTTCCAGCCGCAGGGTGCTCCGTCTTTCCTTGTGTGTCCCTTACCTCTTCTCACTGCCAGGTGACGCGGGGGTCCCCAGAGTGCCTTTCTGATGCCCATCCTTGGGCTCAGTGGTCTGGGCCGTGATTCACAGCCCTGAGGCTTCAGCTCAGCCCAGGGCCACCTCCCCTCAGGCCACAGGCCTCTGGGGAGGGGTGGCGAGTCCTGGACGCAGAGAACCCTGCTGGTTGCCAAGTGTGGAGTCCTCCAGCGGCCTCTCCCTGTGGACCCTCAGGTGACAGCACTGGGGAGAATCCCCCAACTGGAACCCCATGGGCGTGGACGCCCCAAATCAGCCTGAGCCTGCTGCCAGGCCGGGCTCACCCTGCAGCTGGCACCCTGTGACCAAGTCCCTGCCCTGGCTGGGGACACAGAACCCAAGATAAGGAGGCGTGCCCAGGGCCTCCAGTGGCAGGGCCTTGCTCAGGGCTTTGGCAGGCCCTGCAGGCGAGGTGCCCAGGGAGCACTGGCCACACATGCCCTGCAGAATCCTCCTACCTTGAAGGGGGTGACATAGGTGCCCTCAGGGGTGACATCCCCTGTCCTGTTCAGGAGGTCCTCACGAGGAATCCTGACCTTGTGGAACATGGCGAATCTGTGGGGAAGAAAGGGCGGCTTCTGTTAGGGGGTGGCCCTGGGCTCCCTCCTATCCCCAGAGGGCAGCACAAAGGTGCCACAACCCCAAGGACAGGGCGTGTGCTGGCCTGCACATGGGGGAACACACAGCCAGGACCCCGCCCCATGGGACAAAGGTGTTCCTGGAGAACGCACAGGGCATGGGGCAGTGCAGCACCTGGGCTGCTGGCAGGACGGCCGCTCTGACTCTGCTCATGTGTCCCCTGCAAGCCGGAGCCCCGGGTGCAACGAGTGCAATGGAGGTTTCAAAACCCGCAAGACAAAGCAAAGAGCTGTGTGGCCACCTCGTCCACACTCGGCCTCCTCTGGCCTCTGCAGCCCCTCCCGCTCCCCAAGGGCGGCCGGGGGTTCCTGGTGCGGCCGGGGAACCCAAAGGAGGTGACCTGTCCCTTCTGAGCGCTGAGAGATGATCACATGGTCACCTTTATGGTTGAGCATGAGTTAAACACTGAAGATATTGTGATGGTCGTCAGGTCAGGGAAACCCCTTTGGCAACAGCCTAGGCGACACGTTACGTCAAGGGATGTGCGCTATTTAACTGTCCCCAAATCAAAACCCCAAACACAAGCCAGACGCGTCGGTGGTTCCTCAAGCCACCCAGCCAGTGACTAAGATCACTCACAACGTCAGAGAGGACGGCTCTTGTGAAACCAAAGAAGACCTCATTGGTGGTGAACAGCTGTCCCGGCTGGGGACAGGAGATGGGGGACGGCCTGCTGGACAAGAATGTGTTCCTTTCCCAGCACCTGTCCTCCTTGAAACCCGGCTTGTGGACGTCCCCTCTCAGTCCACCCTAGCCGTTTCCATCAAACACCAGCAGGAACAGAGACGCTCTGACACTGCCACAGCCCGGTGAGCCCAGCCCACACCCACTCCCCAGTTGCCTGCACCCCGTATGCAGGGTGACCCTCACCTGACCTAGCCTCTCCAGCAGCCGGGTCCACCAACTCAAGACACCTGGACCCCCCAGGCTCGCTCCTGGCCTGGGCCCTCCCTGCCTTTCCTGGGCAGCCTCTGGTGCTCCTCAGAGGGCAGCTGGGCTGCGGCCCCCTCCAGGAAGCCCGTCACGGCTCCCCACCCCACAGAGGTGGGTAAGGTGTCCTCTGCCCAGGACCCCACAGGTGACCCTGTTCTGTGCAGGTCCTGCTCTCTTCACCCCTTTCAAGATCATTTATTGTGGAAAAAGTGGTAGCAGTGAGCAGGTGAGCCTTGGCCCCTCACGGGAGTCCCCAAGGTGTGTGGCTGCTAGAAATCCAGGCGACCCTCAGCCGTGTGGCTCAGTGCCAGGAACAGCCCTAAAGCAAAAAAAAGCAGGACCACAGAGGCAGGGCTGCGTCTGGGCCGCGGGCGCCCTCTGCTGGGCAAGCCCGCCGCTGGCGGAGGGAACAAGCCAGGCTGGTGTGGGAAGCTGGGCGCTCCCCAGCTCCACGGCCTCCTGCGGCCAGCGTGTGGGCAGACACCACGGGCCCCACAGCCGGGACTCTGCTTCAGAGGAGCTCTTGGCTTCTCGGGCCGACCCCACTGCCCACAGGGACTCGGGAGAGGGGCGTTCCTGGCCATCAGAAGAGCCTGGCCATCAGAAGAGCCTGGCCACGTCCACGTGTCTACTGAAGCGGTCTCACCGGTGCTGCGGGGGCACCGTCCACCTAGAGATCACTCTTTCTCCAGAAGCAGGAGTTGATTCAGGGGAGCCAAGGGCAGGTCGTTCTGTGTGCTCCCAAATGATGCTGGTTTGTAAGGTTAGTGGATGGTCAGCAGAGGCCCTGCGGTGGCCCAGCTGCTGGCCACGCACACCTGCACTCTCAACAGAGGAGTGACGAGACCCGCTTTTCTCAAGCTGTGACAAAACCTGCTGTGACCAAGCAGAGATGGGAGACCCTCCCAGCCCAGCCCCCGACTACTGGGGAGGGAAAGATGAAAGGGGGTTTCTCCAGGCGGGTATCTGGCGACCACCTGGCTCACCTCCTCCTGGAGGCCAGGTCACCCACTGTGGCAGCTGCCGGGAGTGGCCAGCCGAGCCACACGGCAGGGCAGGACTGCTCCCCTGCACCCAGGACCCAGGCTCCCACAGGAGCCTCCAGGACTCAGGGACCCCCTCTCCCTGTGCCCAGGATCTCTCTCGGGCCGGGCTCACCTGGAGCCAGTTCTGGGTCCTGTGTGCAGGGGGAGGGAGGCACTGACACAGTTAGGGCCAAGAGCCCTCTCCTGGCTCCTCCTTGGGACCACACAAGGGACTGACATGGGGACACACCACTGCACGGATGAGGACCCTGGCCAAGAAAGTCAGCTGAGGTGGCACAGAGCTCATGCTCTCGATGTCCCTCAGTGACAAGACTCCCGGGGCCACCGCAAGCTGGCTGCGCACCCTGGCGCCTCACACTGTGCTGTCCCCAGTCACCTGGCCACCTCCTGCTAAGCGCAGGCCTCTACCTGGACATGAAGCTTTCACTAAAGACTTCTCGGGCTGCTCCCAGCCAACGTCTGCACATCCACCTGGGCGCTCGGCGCCCCCCACACCTGCACCAACCCTGCTTCACACCTGTGCTGGGAGCGGGCAGAGACCCCCCTGTGCTCACCATCTTCCACCCAGCACTAAGCCAGTTCCTGCCCCAGCAAGAGCCACTGAGTAGGTTTCTGAGTGTATCAAACTCATCAACCAGCAAACCTCCTCCGAGTTGCACAGGATCACCAGGAGCAAGCCCAGGGCAAAGCACAATTGTGGACAAGGTCCTAGGGTTCCGAGCAGGGTGCTGAGGCTGAGCCCCGAGGACCTGGCAGCAAGGAGGTGGCCTGGCACCCAGCTTAGCCCAGGCTGGGGCCCCCAGGTGGAGGGAAGGGGCTGGGCCTGGCCTGAGGCCTGGGAGCGCCACCTGCTGGAGGGGACAGCTGTTCGCAGGGAGGCAGGCAAGGGTCCCCACCGCCTAGAGCGGCCCACGGGAGCCTCCAGGCAAGGGCAGCTCTGAGGCTCCTGCAAAAGCCCAGCTCAAGTGAGGGTTCCTGGAGGGGCAGCTCTGTGACCGCCAAGCCCAGCCCGACACTCACCCATTGTCCAGCCCATTCTGCCCAAGCTTCTTCCCTATGTCGCCAACCATCACCCCTGGCATGGGAAGCAGGGTCTTCGGGTCCCGAATCTGTGAAGTCGTGGGGAGCAACAAATGGTGCTTGTTAGGATCACAGGAAAAGCAAAACGAGTGTGGCCAGACCCGTGGCTGAGCTAGGGGCCACTCTGCGCAGCTGTGGGTCGCGCCATCTCCTCTGGGAGCGTCAGGCCCAGGGGCTGCCCTGGACCTGGGAACCGGCGTCATGTGGAAACAGGCTCTGTGCAGATGCCTTGAAGGCTGGTCTCCAGACAAGGTCACCCCAAACACCTGGTGGCTCTAAATTCAAGGACAAGGATCCTTACAAGGGACCAGGGAGACATATACTCAGGAAGCCACGTGACTGGGGTGAAGGCAGAGACAGGAGAGAGGTGGCCATGGGCCAAGGATGCCCAGAGCTGCCAGGAGCTGGGAGAGGCAGGGAGGGGCCACCCCACAGCCTCAGAGGGAATCCCTGCTGCATCTGGACTTCAGACATTGAGCTCCCGAAATGCAACCAGAGTGCCCAGCCCCCAGCTTGCAGCCTGTGGAACTGAGAAGGCGGCTGTCCGCTGTGGTGAGGCCGGTGGCCACAGGGCTCTGTGGGGGCAGCTGCAGGGCCGGAGTCAGGGCTGACGGTGCGTGCTACCTGAATGCCACCTGGAGGTCCTGCCACAGCAGGGTTCCAAAAGAATAACAACATGGCGGCACGTATGTGCGGTGGGAGGGACGGTCGAGATTTGTGGCAACTCTCCACTCACCAAGACGGGTTTCCAAAGGCCTACTTATCTAAAAACATGCAGAGCCAGCGGGCTGACCAGCCCTCACCTCTGCTCCGTGAACGGGACACGGCTTCATTCCATGAGAATGTTAGCGCGGGGACTTCTGGTCGCAAAGGAGCGGCCACCACCTGCCCCTCCAGAGCTCAGAGGCCGCGTCTGGAGACATGTGGTTGTCCCAGCTAAGGGGCAGCACTGGCGTCCTGTGGTGGAGGCCAAGGCTGCTAAACACCCTAGAGGGCACGGATGGTCGCAGGACCGCCGTCCACTGAGGTGTGGAGGAACCCCGATGGCAGGGCGGAGCCCCGGCAGAGAGTGCTCAGCACAGAAGAGAGAAGAGCAAGAGAGAGGAAGGAGAGGAAGCTGAGGTCAGATCACTTACAATTCATGGGTCTGCGTGTACGTCAGCTTTTATCTGGTAAAGCAATGGTCTAACTTAATTGAAATTTAAAATAAAGATATTTAAAATATTTAAAGGGCCAAAATCCAAACACAAGACATATTCTCCCTTTTCCAGTCTTTCAATAAGGCTCAGTGAAGAGTCAGAAGCAAATTTTAAAAAAATCTTTTGAAATAAATGCCATTTAAAAAGCAGCTCAAAAAACAGAAATGAAGAGTGGCCGGCTTGGCCCTTGACTGCCCCGAAGGCCAGGAGAGAGAACCTGGAAGGGGAGGGGGCTGCGGGGGGCTGGAGGGGCTGCAGGAGCAGGCACCCAGGGGGTGGAAGCCGGCGCTCCCTTTTCCTTTTGCCCCTGGTGCTGGGAAGTGAAGGCTGTGCTCTGCTCCCCCCGGGTGTGCAGCCTCTCCACAGGCCCAAACGCCACAGGGCCAGGTGACCATAGACCGAAATCCCTGAAACCATGAGTCAAAATAAACCTTTCCTCCTTTTAAGTACATTATCTCAGCGATTTCGTCACAGCAACAGAGAGCTAATACAGAAAACCGGCACCTAGAATCGGAGTCATTGCTGCGACTACATCTGACCACGTACAGCTTCAGAAGCCTTTGGAATTGGTTTGCAGGAGAATTCAGACAAGTTTGGTGGAGCAGGTTAGAGAAAGCCTCGGTGGTATAAACAGCTTCATGGAAAAATCTGGTCCAGCTCAGAAGAGCAGAAGGTGATAGTAATTCAGACAGTAAAGGCCAGGCTCGTGACGTTTCAGATGGGAACAGGCCTCTGTGGGGAACTGGATTGGCACTGTTCATGTTCCTGTGTAGACAAAGAACTTGTCTACGTTTTCTCTGTGTTCTGACATTTTGTGGGCCTCCAGTGGACGGCAGGCCTTGGCATTGTCCACGGGGTGCTGGTGTTGGTTTTTTTGTTTCTTTTGGTACTGAGGATTGCACTTGGGGGCTCTCGACCACTGAGCCACACCCCAGCCCTGTTTTGCATGTTCTTTAGAGACAGGGTCTCACTGGGATACTTAGCACCTCACTTTTGCTGAGGCTGGCTTTGAACTTGCGATCCTCCTGTCTCAGCCTCCTGAGCCACTGGAATGACAGGCGTGGGCCCCTGTGCAGGGCTGGTGCTGGTGCTGCAGGCATACAGGGGCCATGGAGGCTTCCGCCAAGATCCCTTAGGAATCCCGAGAGGCCAGGGGTGTGGGGCAGGGTCAGAATCCCTAGACACCCCCCACAGAGGGCCACATGTGACGCTGGGAAAGCAAAGCCCAGGCCACAATGAGATGCCGCAAGCTGGAGATACGAGGAAGGGCCTGCCTGCCACGCGGAATGCAGGCAGCGAGCAGAGCCAGGCCCGGGGAGAGGCCAAGTGCTCTCGGCCAGCAGGGCCGCAGCAGTGGGGCTGCCTGGGTTTTTTATTTTATTTTTTTAGTACCAGGGGTTGAACCCGGGGGTGCTTTGCCTTTTCTTATTTTGCATTTTGAAATACGGTCTCACTAAGTTGCTGAGGCCCTACTACATTGCTAAGGCTGGCCTTGAACTTTCTATCCTCCCGCCTCGGCCTCCTGAATCGCTGGGATTACAGGTGTGTGCCACGCGCCTGGCTGCCCAAGCACTTTCGAGTTCACATCACGCCACTATGTGCCCAAGGTGCCAGAACTACAGGGTTAAATGTTTGCCCTTCTGGGTTTTGGTCTTGCTTTGGTCTAATTCCTTCGTTCTATGGTCTATTCTTCCTTTGGGATTGGGAATGTCTATCCTGTCCCACCACTGTATCTTGGAGTTACATAACTTGTATTTTAATCTTTACAGGAGCTCACAGCTAAAAGTTTGCCTCTGAGACTCAGAGACTTTGTATTTGCACTTTTGAACAATGATGGGACAGTTAAAACTTTGGTCTTTCTTGGAAATTAACTGAATGCACTTCACATTATGAGGTGGACGTGAGACAGGCCTGGTGGCACATACCTATCATCCCAGCAACTTGGGAGGCTGAGGCAAGAGGATTGCAAGTTTGAGGCCAGCCTCAGCAGCTTAGCAAGGCCTGAAGAAACTTAGCAAGACCATGTCTCAAATGACAAGACTTTTACAAGCTGGGTGTGTAGCTCAGTGGTTGAGCAGAGCTGGGTTACCCCAGTACCAACAGAGCGGGAGAGAGAGAGGCCTCTGGGGGCCAGGGATGATAGGACATTATGGTCTGAATCTGAAATGTCTCCCAGAGGCCACGTGCTGAAGGCTTAGCACTTGGGAGAGGATGAAAACTTCAGGGATGGGAACTAAAGGAGGAAATCACATCCGTGGGGCATGCCCTTGAAGGAACCCTTGGGACCTCAGCCCCTTCCTCTCTCCCTGCTTCCTGACCAGCTAGAGGCCTGCGGGTTCACACACACTTCCACCAAAGGCCTCCCGTGGTGGGCCAAGCAACCATGGACAGAGCCTCTGAAGCCACAAATCAAAGTAAACCTTTCCTCCTTAAAAGTAAATTATCTCAGACGTTTTGTCACAGCAGCAGACAGCTAACACAGAGGACGGAAATTATAAAAACAATTGGTATTTTTCAAGTAATGGAACAATAACACTATGAATGCAAGTTTTCAGTTCATCGAGAAGTAAAATGATAATGTAGTGATTATAAATATCCTTAAAACTCTTGAATCAAGGAAAGACTTCTAAAGATGAAAGTAGAAATAGTCAATGTCAACTTATCTCAGGAATATTTAATTGTGCAGTTCACATCTCACACTTCCACACTTAAGGGACTGCCAACCCGAGGGCCCCTCAAGCCTGTGAGCACCTCCACCAGCCAAGGCTCGGGACTCCACTCGCCTCCTCCTGTCTCTCCCCTGGACTGGCAGCTCCACTGGGCAGGACCCACAGCGCCCTGCACACCGTGGGCTTCCCTGGACGCCTTGGAGAACACACAATCCTCTGAGCACCTTTGGCATCAGGCTAACCACAGCCTGCAGTGCTGCGGCGGGCGGCCTACAGCTGGACAGCCCAGCAGATCCCCCGGTTCCCCAGGCCCAACCTGCACTCGCAGAAGCCACAGGGACCTCAGGCACCCCCCGCTGGTCCTCCCCCGCTGATCCCCCCTCGCTGGTGCCCGTCGCTGGTGCCCATCGCTGGTCCCCCTGGCACCCTACCTGCACCACAAAGGAGTGCAGCCCGTGGCACTGGCCCCCTGGCATGTACAGCTGGGCAAACACCACCGCGTGAGTCGCCGTCTTGCCCATGTTGCCAACCCAGAATTTGGCAGCTTCAAAATCGGGCGAATGTATGACGAATTCCTGCGAGAGGAAGAGTGACACCGTGGTCAGCACCGAGGCGCACGCCTCCCCCAGGTCGTCTTCTGTGGTCAGCATCTTTGGCAACAGTCAAAAGGAGGCACTTTGACTTCCTTTACTGCAAAGTGGGCCTTATTTTTAAAGGAAGCATATCCCACGCCTGTGATTTACAGACTTGAGAAATGACAAGCAACATTGCAAACAATAAAATGGACGCAAAATACTCTGTCTGCTAAGACCGCGCTCCTCGCCAGGCTGAGTGGGAGGGCCGATCACCCGCGCTTCCTCCACGGGCCCTGGACTTCTCCGGGGTGGCAGCCTGTTCCACCTGCGGTCTCTCTGGTCTACAAGCTCCACGAATGAGGCTATCCCCGAACGCCCAGGAGCCCCGTGGACACACGGTGGAGAACAAGCTGCCGCCTCTGCGTGCTTGGTGTGGCCGTGAGACCACGGCAGGTGTGTGAGGCCAGGGCAGGTGTGCGAGACCAGGGCAGGTGTGCAGTGAGAGATGGCAGGTGTGCGAGACCAGGGCAGGTGTGCGAGACCAGGGCAGGTGAGTGAGACCAGGGCAGGTGTGCAATGAGAGATGGCAGATGTGCGAGACCAGGGCAGGTGTGCAAGACCAGGGCAGGTGAGTGAGACCAGGGCAGGTGAGTGAGACCAGGGCAGGTGTGCAGTGAGAGATGGCAGGTGTGTGAGACCAGGGCAGGTGAGTGAGACCAGGACAGGTGTGCAGTGAGAGATGGCAGGCGTGCAAGACCAGGGCAGGTGAGCGAGACCAGGACAGGTATGCAGTGAGAGATGGCAGGTGTGCGAGACCAGGGCAGGTGTGCGAGACCAGGGCAGGTAT